TTATAGAGTAGAGCAGGGGTGGCCAACCTGTGGCTCCGGAGCCACATGCGGCTCTTCATAGGTTAATATGCAGCTCCTTGCATAGGCACTGACTCTGGGGCTGGAGCTATAGATGCTAACTTTCCAATGTGCCAGGGAGTGCTCAGTACTCAACCCCCTGCTCTGTCCCAGGCCCTGCGCCCACTCCACCCCTTCCCCTGAGCCTGCCATGCCCTCGCTCTTCCCCCCTCCCCACCAGAGCCTCCTGCGCACCGCATAACAGCTGATCGTAACGGGCGGAAGGCATGGGGAGGGAGCGGGAGGCACTGATTGGTGGGGCTGCCAGCGGGCAGGAGGCGCTGCAGGTTTGAGTGGGTGGAGCTAATGGGGGGCTGTTAACATATTAGTGTGGCTCTTTGTCAATGTACATTGGTGAATTCTGGCTCCTTCTCAGGCTCATGTTGGCCGCCCCTGGAGTAGGGTAACAACATCACCCTTGCATGACAGCTTTCGTGTACCTCCCAGCAGACACAGCTTTCAAGGCAGTTCCACAGTTTGACACCTGTGGTGACATATTCCCCTAAAGTGAAGACATGAAGGTGACTCTCAAAGAAGAATAGTTATTGTTAGTAATCTCTCTCCTTAATTCCATTAAATCGGTTATATTGATCCTCTTTATTATATACACCCTCATTATGAAATATAAGCTCTGTGGCCTCAAGACCTACTTCAGAGAAAGAGACTATGCTGTATTTTATTCTGCAAACCCTTTCCCAATTACTTATTTCTCTTCAAATAATTTATGTAATTTAATAGCTGAAAATTCTTTCTACCCTGAAAAAGAAAACTAGTTGGCTGAGTGTAAACATTGAAGCCAAATAAACAGTTCTGTAAGGTATTTCTCTAGCTCTAATACAAGAGAATGTGCTTTCCTGGGTTGTATGGACAGCTGTTGCAACATTTGTGATGATCTATGAATTTCTGGAAGTTCAGATATGAAGGTAACCTTTTATGGAAGGATTATTCCACATGAATAAACATTTACATTATAATGGGGAAGGATGTGCTAGGTTATTCACAAGAAGCTTCTGGCTTTGGCGAAGTTATGATATATTTCTCATGTAAATATTTTGGGATTTTTAAAAAATATTCTATATATAATGTATAAAGTCTGAATGAAATCTGTCTGTCATTAATCTGCATTTTGAATGAACGCCAAGTACATACAGAAAAGTAATGTGTTTTCCAATATATAGACAAGTTAATGTACAAAATGCTCCCCACAGTGTTATATTCACAAAAGATTGATAAGGATTTTTTTAAGTGTTTTATACATGGAGAGAAAAATAATGTTCAACATAAAAAGCCCCCAAAGCTTACCAACTTTACAGGAATTCTATAGAATTATACGAATATAAGAATGGCCATACTGGGTCAGACCAGTGGTCCATGTAGCCCAATATGCTGTCTTCCAACAGTGACCAGTGCGAGATGCTTCAGAGGGAATGAACAGAATAGGACAAATATAGAATGATCCAACCGTGTTGTCCAGTCCCAGCTACTGGCAGACAGTTACTGTAATCAAAGATTGTAAGTCATGTGAGCAATAGCTTTTTACATACATGGTTTAATCTCTCTTACTTATTAGGTAGATTGGTATTCTTTATTTACAAGGCTTTGTTTAGACTGGCTGCTAATATTTTCTTTCTTTGTTTTGCTACATCTGAATAGAATTGGTGGAATTTGCTAAATCTGTGTGGGTATTTTTAAACCACCTGTCACTGTAGTAGCCAATCACTAGCAATTCAGGATAGTAACAAACTGGACACTCTAAAGATTAATTTTGCACTGTCTTTTGTGGGGGGAAAAGTTGTTAGTTTTCAGAGATCATCTCAAGGATCAGTATCGTGCAAATTGCTCTTATGATAGAGATCTATTCTTATTTTCTTTCTTGGTATCTTGCATGATTGTAATCTTGGAACTGTTTTCTGAACAATAAATTCCAATTCTCATGCAGTGAATTAAATCAATGCATACTTCAGTATCATTTCAAAGGAATGTATTTTTTTTTAATATTCTATGTATTTGGGTCCAGTCTGGTGCTGTTAGAAAAACCTGTGGTATTTCTGTATTTGAAACATGACAGTTGGTGCCAAACAGTAATTAACTGTCTTAGATTTTAATGCTGTCCTAGAGATTATCATCTAGAAGAATGAATTTTGCCATTCTTTATACAGTAGATATTATATGAATCAGAGGTTGTTTCCTCAGTTGACTATTGTATCCAAGAAAATCTTCTATATGGATCTGATCAGAAGCTCACTGAAGTCAATGAGGGTCTTTCCATTGACTTCAGTGGGCTTTGATTCATGCCCTATATTTGAGTCAGATGTTCTTTTAAATGCACTCAGACTAACAGAAGTTCATCTTGGGCGGGGGGCATAAAAAAGACTTATTTTCAGCCCCACTGTAGTCAATTAAGAAAGCATAAAGCAGATTGTCAAATGGTCTTCGCTTGTGGGGCAGTGTATCCAGGGGCATAGGCACTTGGACTTGCAGAAGGGGGCTTTTGGTAGAGGAGCACAGGCCCTCCCACTACACCGGGCTCCATCCCAGGGCCCTGTTAGAGTGACAAAAGGGTCTGACACCCAGGAGTGCCTTAAGGCTGCCTTCTCTGGGCACACCCACCACCCTGCCATAGTTCAAATCTCACAGTCTATACCAGAAAAGCGTGGAGGGGATCAGCTCACCACTTGGCATTTCTTTGTGGCTGGGCATGGTGTGCTCTCTCCACCTAGGGGTGGTAGCTGCATCCTCTCAGGCCTGGGCCTTCCAGCTAGGTCAGTTCCATCTCTGTCCTCTTCAGGGGTAATCTATACCCCTGGGGTGGGAGGGATCGCTCAGTGGTTTGAGCATTGGCCTGCTAAACCCAGGGTTGTGAGTTCAATCCTTGAGGGAGGCACTTAGGGATCTGGGGCAAAATCAGTACTTGGTCCTGCTAGTGAAGGCAGGGGGCTGGACTCGATGACCTTTCAAGATCCCTTCCAGTTTTTAAAAAAAAACACCACATTTGGTGAATCAACACAAATAAACTGGGTGTAAGGGGAAAATGCCTTCCTCTTTGGGTCTATCAGAAGCAGGTCCTACTTTCCCTCAGAGAGAGACCTTCAGATAGTTGCTGATGGGGAAGATCTTGCTCTCCCTCAGTCCTTTCCTCAGCAGCTGCAAGGTAAAGGTCCTATCTTTTCCCTGGCCTTCCCACAAGTGAGCTGTTGTACTCTCTTTTACTCCTCCTCTTATCTGTACGTCTCTTGCAGGTGTGGCAGGGCAGTGCTGGCTGAGCCCAGAGCAGCTCCTTAACCCCTTGTCACCCAGGCTGGAGTTTGTATACACCATCACACTAATAAACAAAATCTACTTATTGTTTCATTTTGAATACTGAGCATTTGTTATTGGAAAAAATAAAAAGTAATATTTTAAGATAGCCTGGCGATAATATCTGAAAATATGACCCTGCAGTGAAAGTTAGAATACATATCATAAATCTATAAATTACATAGGGAGGTTGTGGAATCTCTGTCATTGGAGGTTTTAAAGAACAGGTTAGAAAAATACCTCTGAGGGATGGTCCAGATAGTATGTAATCCTGTCTCTGTGCAGATGACTGGACTAGATGACCATTTGAGTCCCTTCTGGTCCTACATTTTTATGATGCTATAAATTAAATATAATCTTTGTGAATTTCACTGCTGGAACAGGTGTTTCCCATTTAGATATGTCTGCTTCACTCAGAACTGTTTTAAGTAAGTTGACAAAGAAATGCCTTCTTGAATGTTTGTGCTGCAGAAATTGCATTTTATTTTGTTTTATAAAGCAGTCAACATTTTTGTATTCTCTTCTCCAGATATAAAAATGTCTCATAATACCATTGCAGTTTGAAAATAGATTTCACGCTGATATTAGAGAAACTCATAAATAAAGGATAGTAGATTTCATGCTGTAGAATAATACATTTTAGTATATGTAGTCAAAAGGACTATTCATGCTTAAAGGTAAGCATGTGTTTATTTATTTGCAAGGTGAGGGCTTTATAGTCTATATATTTTAACTAGTATAGTGTTATAAATTTATTTCATGTATTTGTTTTTGATCTTATGAAATGTTATTTTTTACTGATACTGTACATGTGATTTCAAGTTACTATAATCATCACTTAAACAGCATGTGCTAAGGTTTACTGATTTGCTAGCCAGTTGTCTTGACAAATACACATGGCATCAATACTTTCCATTAATAACTTTTAGATTCCCATAACAGCTCAGACTTTTTAAAAGGCAAACCGCATCTTGTGCATGCTTTACTTGGTTTCTTGAAAAAAAACAGATGAAAGGATTATAATTAGAAACAGTGATGACAGATTATATAAGCAGACATAAACTACTTGGTCACTTATTGTCAGCATTCACTGTCTCCTTGAAAAATGTTTTAAATTACAAGAAAATTGGAATAAAGCAGCAATTTTTGCTCTCATCTTCTGACCTTAAAACTGTATGGTGTCTAAATTGGTTGTATAGATATGAGTATTTATATTTACTCTCTTTCACATAGATTTATATTCAAATTAAAGTTAGTACACTTTGTTAAATTCCACATATGTATTTAAATGAATACTCATTAAGTAATTTTGCCATGGCTATGTTCATAGGTTTTGTAAGAATAATTATCATCTGGGTGGCATAACCCAACTTATTAATATATTTTTTTATTTTATTTTGTGTACATAAGATTGAGGAAAAAATAATAGAAAATTATTAATTTATCAGATATATCTCATGTTACTTGCAGTGCCCTTCATTGCTGCTGGTATTAAGGAACTAATCTGTATGTAGTTTAACCAATTCTAGTTTTTCCATTGGTCATCTAAGCAAAATTCATGTCTCGTTAACAGTGTTTCACCAACTTCTTTTCCTTGTGGTACTACGAGGCTATAGTTGCAATAATACGATTATTTTCTCTTATAGCATCAGAGACTTCTTGACATGCTGGATACAGAGAAAGAAGTGTTAGTGCAAAAAGTAGAAGCAGCCTTGATGCAACAATCACAAAAACATAAGGTAATGCGTTGAGTACATCAAGTGCTTGATCCTATACTACTGAAGTCAATAGGAGCTTTGCCATTTACTTTAATGGGAGTGGGGTCAGGTTCTAAATATTTTGAGTGTTTGAACCAAATTCTATCCACTCCTCATATGCTGTGTTACAACTTTATTTTACATATTATTTGCAGGAAGCCCTGGAAAAATGTTTGGAGGAACAAGAGAATAGAAGTAAAGAGGCTTTGGCAGCTGCTGCTAAGGTAATTCTAGTTAAATAGTAGATATACAACATAAATACCACGCATTTCATTCAGGAGTGTCATGTTCAGGAATTGGGCTCTGATTCAAAAACTAGATCCATGAAAGTCCAGTTCCACTAAATATATATCATTTCAACTATGTTTAAAAGGGGTCATAATTCTACAAATCATGAGGACTCCTACGAGATTTAGAGGCTATCATGGAAATCTGCTAACTGCTGATGCAAAATGTAATTTCTTATATTCTACTAATGAAAATAGCACCAGTATTAATTTGCCTTTTTCATGATGTTGAGTCCTTGGGTTATTACAGTGTAGTTATTTGTGGTATCTAAACAAAACAATCTGTTTTCATAGTCTCCAGCTGACCGCACTGGTGTTTTGTTTTTTATTTCAAGAACAGATACCAGAGTTGTCATTGCATTTGTCGAGACACTTAACATTGTGTTTTATTTAATATTTTACAACAGAAAGGTCATTTCCAGAAGAAAAACCTAAGTATGTGTGAGTTAATAGTCTAATACATATTATATATCCTTAGTAGAAAATTTGTAAAAGCATTGACAAAATATTTCATTCAATTAAATTTAGTCAATTTAAACTGTCCTAAGTGATTCAATATATATTGTTTTTAATAAAAAATTAAATTTCACCTTTTCTGTCTGATTTGTTTAGTGCTTTTCATTCATGAATGCCTTGGACACAGTAAAATTATTATTCGATGAGGGAATTAGGTGATAATTGTCTAGGCTATATTTGCATATCAAATCTTGGTATATAATCCAGCACAAAAGTCAGGTAACATTATGTACAGAATAATTACTGTACCTATCTTTTAAGACTCTGGGAAAATCTGTAACACCATATGTCAAGAAACAAACAGGCACAATTGATTTGACCCCACTCTATTACAGGATCAAAAACATCTGGTTTTCTCCAATGAAAACTGTGATCCACATATGTAATTTGCCTTCTGGTTGATAGTGGTATATCTGTGGCTAGTTGTCAACTTTCTTGAATCTCAAGGCTGTGGAACTTAATGTTTGGGTCTGGAAGGTTAATAAGACTGTCTTGAACACCTGTGCCTTTATCCCACTCTTAGGCCACTTCTTTTTCTTCATACTTAAAATAAATATATCTTTCCCTATATCTTTAAATTATTTTAAGTTAAGTTCGTTAGCAGATTGTTAACCTTTTTAGAATTGTTACCCGTTAGCTACTTTTGAAGCTTCTTTTTTCTTTTCTTCTTCGTTTATCTTTTATTTGGCTGTTGCCTTTTTAAAAAAAGGGGGGGAGGAAAGGAGAAAAGGACTTGGTTCTTTCTTCAACCCCTGTCAGGAGACACACACACACACACACACACACACCACCCCCGGACACGGCCCCGGCTCTCGTGGGCTTCGAGAAGTTGTTTCAGTTGACAAAG